ATGTCCTTTAGGTCTCATCATGTTTGGAGGGGAGTTAAATTTGACAAGTTTTTTTCCAGAAGCTGGGGTTCAAGAACGTATGAAAGAACATGGGAAAGATCCACTATGGAAAATCAAGTATGAAGAACATCTTATGAATTTAAGAATTTCCTCTATTAAGAGTCAAAGTGATGTTATAATGTCATTTGGTTGGTAAGACCAAGTATGAAAATAATATTTTTGACGTGAAGAGTTTGTATTTTCAGGTATACTTCTAATGGCAGTACACTATTTTCTGCCTGAGACAGAGGAGCTGTTCGCAAGTAAGTCATACTCTGTGGTAATTGGCATTAGTGATCTCTTGACTAGCCATTAACAATATTAATTTGCAACTATTCTTATTAAAATCAACACATGTCAATTACTGTTAAATGTCTAAAACTTAGCTCTTATTATGTAGCCACCCCTCTTTTTAGCCAGGACTACTATTAAAAATTATCAGTAAATCATTGAAAACAGAACATCTGTTAATATTACTGTCAGTGCTTACCCTGAAGGCTTAATTATCAATCAACAGAGGTTAGACTACAGGTAGGTACAACTTGTTATTTTTAATAATTAAGTTCAAATCCTACTTTGTAGCTGTCACTTCCTTCAAAAAAATTCAGCCCTATTAATTTCAGTGAAAATATTGTGAATTTGTGTGTTGCTATAACAATGTTAAAGTGTACACACATTATGAGGCGGGTTTCTTTAATTCTGCTTCCAAAGCCATTTGCATATTTGTACAAAATGAACCTTAAATTTATATATATATTTTTGGTCTGTGAATTTGATCAAGATTGTTCATAATTTGTTCTTACAGATATCGACATTTTCCTGATCATCACGAGTTTGTAGAGGATTTGTTCTGTCACTCAGATGCTGTGGAGGACATTGATATCTCACCTTATGATGAATGTATCTTTAGCTATATGCATTTTAAATATACTTCTAATTCTCAGCAGACATGATTGTGCATAGCCTTATAGAACATAACCAACATTTCAGGATGCCACCTACAGTTTCTTTGCAAAGTTATATCTGAGGAACAAGCATAGAAATTCTGTTATACTGATGATGTGTCACTTCTCACTACCCAGATCTAAGTACAGGTAGTGGCCAGTGCCGGATCCAGACCTTGAGATAAGGGGGGGAGGGGAGGGGACCTGGTCATCCAGACCCTTAGATAAGGGGGGGGGGGTGGTCCAGTCTCCCAAAAAATTTTTTTTTGGCTCTCAGTTTGGTGTAAAAATAAGGGGGGGAGGGGGTGGGGGGGCCCTCCCCTGGATTCTCCACTGGTGGCACATCATCAGTATAGAATTTAAGAATATTTATGGAGATCAGTCTGAAGAATTTGTAGGTGGATATTGGGCTTAAAGGGGTAAGGGCTTTGACGTACCAGTGGCACATCCTCACTTAAAAATCCACAGGAAGAGTAATCTCTCTCGTTCCCTAGTTTGACTGTGGTTTCATTTTGTTCTCCTTAATATAACTTTCCTAATAGATTTAGTAACAGCATCAAAGGACCAAACTGTTGGTGTATATCGACTGGGACCACCAAGTCACGGCATTACAGAGTATGGAGAGATAAGATAACAACAGTGTACATCAGCCTTCTGTTGACTGCCTGCAAGTGTCTACAGATCCCAAAGTCAGGGTCAACCCCTGAGGAAAGGGTTCTGAAAATTCAGGCGTGTTGGATTTTGTATAAAATGTACTGGATTCCTAATGGGATGTGGCCATTGTTGTTGACATAATGCAAGCTATAATCATGGAAAGGAAGCCATCAAATTATCATAGTATAATGGTGGTGACTCTCAGTCCACAAAAAATAGCCTTGGCCAGTTACATGTAGTAAGCTTGTTTGTCATGTTTGATCAGAGGGCAACTCACTTACATTTGGGGGAAAGTGAGAAATTATGCAATCTGAATCTGGAATAACGACTTCTCAAGCGCATTAATAATAATTCATATTTCATGCCCACAAGTCAACACCTGGATATACTGCATCACGTGGATGCATTTGGAGTCCCAATGAAAAACCAGATGAAAGTCTTTAAAGATTTGGATACAAGATCCAAATGTTGGCTGATTCTAGAAAAATCATGTGACATGAATACATTAATTCTAAGTAAATAATGTCTCATGCAAACAACAAACATCTATTTCTTTTAAAGAATGTAATTCACATATTATCACAGTTTGAAATGTCCCAAACCTATAGGAAGAAACAACACAAGTTACACAAAGTTAAAATGCAAAGCTCAAATAAAACCTTTCAAAATCAGTTGAAATGATACCTTTGTCACGAACAGCCAAAGAATCTAATGTGCCCTCACCATTTTTCTCTACCAGGAAACGTTTAAAGCCACAGACAATCGGCTGTAAATAAGCGTCCAAGATGTGCAGATATCATCCACCTGACTTATTTGCAACCCGTTGCACGAACTTGGATAGCCTTTCAAAGTTTAGACTTTTGGCATTCGTGATTTCAATGCTTGCAGTCAACTCTTGTACATCCACACCAATGTCTTCACCTTTAAACAGTGCACCTGGCTCAATGGTGCAAATCTTGAGCACTTTTTGGTCTTGCCATTCTCGAAAAATCTGTAATGCCCATTTGTTCTTGTAAAGTGTAGATTTCAGAACAGAATTGATAACACACTCTTTTTCCTCGTCAAAAGTTTTAGGTGTCTGAAACCTTGAACTTGACACATCGATGTCACACAAAAAACTGAATATTATGATAAACACTAAATTAAGTTGGATGATTCTCAAATGACACATTCCATCCAAACGGTTCTTATCACATTCTATAGCTATTGTTTAATAAATTAATTGCAACAACAATGATGAATAATAAAATAGTCAGCCACTCATTTAAGAAGCTATAGCAAAAACTCGTGCTTTGTCAGGGTATCCAGACACCTCGAAACAATAACAGCACTCGGCCTTCAGCCTCATGCTTTTATCTGTTTCTCGGTGTCTGGATACCCCGATGAAGCCTTCACACTCGTAATTGATATATTACTTAAATTAAAGTTAATCAACAGGTGATTATAATATTATTGTTATTATTAATTTTGATTATTATCCCTAGCCGAGGTGCAGTTACTTGTACGTTGTCTAGCAATCGGTCCAGTACTTCAGGATTTTCCAGTCGTTAACCTTAAAAGAAATCAGTCTTAAGGATGAGGATATTGTTGTTAAGAAGCTTGCCCTTACTCAGGACTGGCACCAAGGGCTGGGGGCCAGGGATTTCTCCCATGGCCTCCTACTATGAGCATGATCACCGGCTACTTTTATAAGGAACAAACGAAAAACAAAACCCACCAATCTTCCTAGCTAATTTTTTAATTCCCCACCACCTACTATAAATTGCATATACCCAGAAACTTGAAATCTTTTATAGTGCCAGCCCTGCCTTACTGTTATATTTGGATCCTCAGAAACTTTCCAACAAGGATGTTGTCTGGATTACAATATTAATATTACCCTCATTGGTTGTAACACAGTAAACACAAAAAGTGTAATACTAAGTATTAAAGAGTTACTTACAATGAAAATTGGGTATAAACTTTATTTCATGTCGGAAAAACTAAGAAAAATGCAACTTATTTATCCAATTTTTTTTTCTCATATCATCCTCTTCTAGACTTTGCCACTCAGAGATCAGTCTTTTATTCATACAAAGTATTACTCTTATGTGGCACATCCTGGGCAAATAGGAAGGCGTACCCCCGTCTTTTGTTTTTTTTAATAACCTTTAGAAAATCAACTTCTGCAAAGATTAGGATGTTCGCGTGACAAGCACGGGAAAGGTTGCGTGACAACCAGTGGCACCCAACTGCTGATTTCGTTCTTTCTGTGAAGTCTTTTGTGTTCTCCTTTTATTCCTAACCCTTCAAGTTTCGTAAGTACGCTGCGTACTCCTTTGGAAGAAGATCCTCTCCTTCAAGTATTTCATTGAGATAAATTTCGCTTGGCTTCAACCCACCTTTAACACATTCCTTATTCGCTTTGTACGCAATCGCATCGACAACTTCCCCGTCTCTCTTTTCCACTTTAACGATCACTCGGTGAAAACGATTGCCTTCATGAATGTGCTCGTGATCCATTTTACACATGCTTCCCTTCTCGCAGATGTATAAAGCGCCATGAACCGCGGAACCTTCGTCTGGGGTGATATTAGCGTAACCAAAACCATCATCTTTCCAGTTGGTGTTGAAGACGAAGCGATATCCGCGAAGCACTGCGCTCTCGCGAGAAGTAAATTTTGCTCCACGTTCTTTCATTTTTCTTTCACTTAAATTTGATGCAAAAGCAAAATACAGCTCCTTCCCTTCCATATTGTCCTAGGATCTCCAAAAGCATTCTCATCCCCAGAGCCACTCAGGTGAGCAAGAAACGACGGGCTCTGGGGACGAGAATGCTCCAAAAGTGCCACGGTGAGATGTGTAGGGGATACCAGAGGTAAACCACGTTGCAATTTTTCCTCACGTTATATGATAAGGGACGAACCATTAGAAAAGCGATGGTGGGCCAAGAGGGGTGGGGAAGAAACAGAGGGAAAATGTCCCCCCAAAAAATTCATGCAAATGACGGGCCCGCGTGTCAGACGCTGCTTCGACACTTAAAGCCGGAGGAAAAATTTCGTGAGTAGCATTGTATGACTCACGGGCACGATTTCATATGTACACAGGCTATAAATTCCCGGAAAACTGAAAGCGGAGCTGGAAAGTTATCATGCCTTCTCTTAAGCTCCAGAATACATGCATACTAACCATTAATTATGCTCCATATATCTAACCCTAAACTAACCTGCGATCAGGCGTTTTTTTTTGTTTAAAAAAAAATCGCCTGATCGCAGGTTAACCCTAAACAGCGTCGACTCTCCTCTATGCCCAAGCAAGCACAACCGCTCATCTGCGAAGCCATTCTTGTTTTCCTGATAATTTTCGCTTGATAATTCTAAATGAAGATGGAATACTTTCAAGAAACGATTAGAAAAAGGGATTTTGCAGAAATTGTAGAAAATTTTCTGACTTCCGGGCATTTAGTTTTTTTAAAGACCCTTCCCGACTGCCGAGCATATAGCCACAGCGAATTTTAAAATAACTGTATATAATTATTCGATTTAATTTGACCCCTCCTTAGCCTGAATTTTAGACGATTCGTTTTTACTCCCTCCTCTGAAGGAGTAAAAACGACTCGAAGTATTAATCGTCAGAAATTCAGGCTAACCCCTGATATGTTTTTTTTCATGGATGGCTGCATTTCGGGAGCTATTTCTGGAAGCACTTGCGTCACTTTTGTTGACGTAGATCAAAATGAAACTGAAAGCTAAAGGAAGGGAAAAATCCCATTAATTAGGGTTGATTGTTGCTGATAGGTAAGTTTTGTGCAGGTCCGGTTATTTTGTGAAGGAAAATGCAATTGACTTTTATACTGACTTGCTTTGCAAAATATGATTTCCTCGTAGACTTTTTCGTTGTGACAAATCAAGCGAACTATCAAGACTACTCGGGAATTTATAACTGAGGTAGGCATCCATTAGCTGAAGCTATACTCGAACTATTTCTTTAACTTAGAACGGCATTTGGTCATTTATCTCGCGGAAACTTTTGTCAAAGTATTCTATCTTCATTTAGAATAACCAAGCGATCAGGAAAACAAAACTCGCTTCGCAGCTGAGCGACTGTGGTTTCTTGGGTATAGAGTAGAGTCGACGCTGTCAGACGCTGTTTCGTCAATTAGCCTAGGAATAATTTCGTGAGTAGCAGCGCGTGTTAATGAGCATTTTTTCTCTTTCCCCAATATATTTCGTTTCGTTTCGTTTCGCGGAATAAAATAAGCCGGGCGTTACTCACGGGCACGATTTCAGAGAAGCTAAATACCCGGCAGTCTCAAAGTGAACCTGGAAAATGAAAACGCCTTCTCTTAAGCTCCAGAATACATGCATATTAGCCATTATGCTCAAATTTTCGAGCATAATACAGTCGAACCCCGCTATTTCGAAGTCCCAAGGGACGTGGAAAAAAGTTCGAAATAGCGAGGTTTCGAGATAACCGGGGAAGCGTAAAATTCGTAACAATGAATCATTTTTTAACAAAATACAGTACAGTATGAAGAAAGACACTGATAAAATAAAAATACAGTAATTATATGTTGGATAAATCAGCAGATGCTGTTGCATTGAAAAATCTTTGAATGTTCTGTTGTTTTTGGTTTTTGCTAATACTTTTGTCGATCGTGAATGACAACTGTCTTGTTTGCCGTCGAATCTCGGCTCCCTCAACATCAAACAAACTGTAGCCTGAGAGAGTCTCGATTGCTTTGCTTGACGGACCTCACTCGTCGTTGGTCGCTTGGGAGTTTCTTCTTGTTGTTCATCTTCATTTCCATCATCGTCGTCACCCACTACCATCTGCTTTTCTTCACGAAACTCTGCGAGGATGTCTTCATCGCTCAACGAACCAATGTCAGATATTAATAAGCCGTGTTGTCTATGATCTTTCAGTTCGCAGGGTACTGTAGGATTTCATCTCAGCCCTTTCACTGATTTATTCACAGGCGGCCCAAAGTCACGTTACGAGGGAAAGATGTAATGTAATTTACATACCATGGGTGACCAGTGTCGCGTTACAGGTGACCGTTGAAAATATAAGAGACTTTGTACGAGAAATATATTACTGGAACGCTAAATAACGCTAAACCTTACTTTTTCTTAAATGAAATGAATAAAAAAGACTTACCTCCAATGTATTCCACTGCGTTTAGGTGTCTGTTTGTCGTTTTACTGTTTTTTTGGCTCTATTGCGTAACCACTGTTACTTCTTTCACCACTTCGTTCTTAGCCTGTTCCAGGCTCCGAGATAGTGGTCCCCAGTATACGATCTGAGAGCCTGGCACAGGCTACTTCGTTCTATGAAAGGAGTAACAGTGGTTACGCAATAAAGCCAAAAAAACAGTAAAACGACAAACAGACACCAAAACGCAGTGGAATACATTGCAGGTAAGTCTTTTTTATTCATTTCATTTAAGAAAAAGTAAGATTTAGCGTTATTTAGCGTTCCGAGATCTCAGTAATATATTTCTCATACAAAGTCTCTTATATTTTCAACGGTCGCCTGTAACGCGACACTGGCGCGTCACCTATGGTATGGCCGCCTGTGATTTATTATGCATACATGTCCGTTCTCATAGTAGTCTGCTACACAGCCGTTTTTAGTGTCTGCGTTGCGTGACGACATAAAAAAAAGGCTCTGCAAAAGAGTCATATTTATCATTTGTGTTAAATTATAAGGGCAAGCTGTGTACAGAAATCTTTTTAAACCGGCTCATCCTCGGACGGGTGTATTTGAAAAGAACTTGCAATCTTCCTAAGTGACATGACACAAAGAAATTCAAAGACGTCAACGTAACAGAGCCATAGTAACTAAGGACAATAGGAAGTAAAAAAAAAAAAAAAAAAAAAAC